TCTCAGAAGTTGAGTACTTCATTAGGAGCCGGAGGGAGCAGGAGCAGCAGAAAAGGGGCTTTAAACGCAGCCGGCTTCCCCCGCCGGCTCCCGGTCGGCCCCGCTTTTCAGGGCGCTCTTCTGAACTTGGCCGCTCCTGGCGCCTCTCATCCCGGGTTGCAAGCGGCAGCCCTCGCTCCTCCTGGGCAGGTCAATCAGCAGTTTAATTCCACGTTCACCTCAGGTATTATCTTTTTCAGCTCCTTGCTTTTCTTTCTCCGAGTCGTTTTCTTATTTGCCTTTTCAAGAGCGCAGATAAAAGATACACGACGTTTTATGGCTCTTGGCAGTTTTTTGGCAGACACTGATACAGGCCTAATTATCCTTTTTTGCGCAAATCAGATAACCTAGCAACAACATAAACATAAAAAATGGGCAGATTTCACCATAGTTCCTCAGAGATTGCTGCCTTCTTGATTCATTTGGGGGGGGGGGGGGGGGAGAGGGGATGTGTGCCAGTGAAAGCAAGAAGGAGGCTTTCCGAGGTCCACCAAGCAGATTATTACAGCTTGAGAGAGGAAATGCCCCAAGCTGTAGCGGGCAATGCCCTTTCAGGCGCCCTCCCCTGCCTTCTGGGCTGCTAGATTTTCACTTCAGGGGCCGCAGGGCAGGCGGCTGCCCGGCGCCGGGGCAGGCTGCCTGAGAGCGGGAACGGAGATTCGGGTACCACGTAACGCTGATGCACTCTCTTATACTGATCATTACACATTCAGCACAGTATAACAATATTTTAGAGACTCCACAAACAAACAAAAATATCGTTCTCTAATTCCGGTGGCAAACTGTGGATCCTGCTGCTCAGAGAGCCACTTAACTTATTTCAGCTCCAACAGTTGGCTGAAATCTTGGTCAGCGCTTTGAACTCACGGCGTAAGGCATCATGCCGCTAAGCTGACGGTGATGCAGGTTTTACTCACAATCGGAAGTACTCCTATCAATCATTGATATAATTATCCTGATTCCAAACAAAAAAACATAGAAACAAAGAAAGCAAACTACCACGGAAGGAAGCAAACTGACATGGTGTGATCCTTATAATGCAACGCAGAGTAGCAGGAAAGGGGACCTCTGCGTATGGTACGGACCTCCAGGATGGGACAAAAAGGTCTGTGAGTCAGGCAGCTGATAGAGTTATGAAGCCACAGCAGAAAAAAAATGCAATGTACTTTATCATCTTTATTCACTTTCTGAATCAACATTACTTTTTTAAAGCTAACATGAAGCATCTTGAACTGATGTTAGATAATGTAAAGCGTTCAGAAATAAAAAGAATGATTGACCTGAGCAAAAATAAGGAGGTGAATTTCATATGCTCTGAAATTTACAGCAGTTTATTCGTGTGCTTTCATTTTTTTCTATTATGAGCATTGAGCTTACTAATGTAGACTGGATCTACTTTGGGTTTGGAAAAAGAGCATTTCTAGAAAGCACTTAGCCTTGTGCGGACCTCCAAAGGGAAAAATATCACAGCAGAAACTGCCGAACGCTTTTTCTGAGACAGACTCTTTAAGAAGTGAGTAGTAGAATTAAAATAGCACCTTATTTCTAATTATAGATGAATAAAATACGTGAACCAAACATATGGCTTTAAATTAATTCTCTTACTGATTCAAGACCGGTTATCTGCCATCCTTTGCGTCGCGCGCGTCTCCTGGCAGCAGCTGTAAGTGTGCGTGCAAGTGTTGGTGACAGGTTTCCCTGGGTCTCTCGTAAGTGTTACGGTACATGTTGGAGCCCTGGAAGTGCCGGCAACGGCCATCTGAGCACCTGCCTTTTCCTGAGACCTCAGCTGGAGTTGAACGCCGATGTGGCGCTCCTGGGAAACCAGTGACTACATTTTTCAAGAAACTCAGTATTTAAGCGTGCAGTGCTTTGAAATGCTGTGTCTTTGCTGTGGTGGGGATTAAGCTATCCTGAATGTCTGGGTGAGAAAACAAGCTTTTTCAAGACCTTGCTCCTCAGAAGCCCAGCCTTTGCTCTGTCTCTTTTGTATGCTCTTCCATAATCTGTCACCTTTGCCAGAAAAGCCGCATGCATCACTTGATGGACTTGAAGCACTGTGGGACTGTCCAGTTTGCTATTGTCGGTTCTCAATATAACCCTGTTGTCTCAAGAGAAGAAAAATTAGGGGTGGGGCAGGATGCTAATGAGTATTCCGAAAGCTAAATGCCAAAATCCTGTAGCATGAGCGCTCCCAGCCTTTTAACTTCTCCACAGTATCGACCCAAAGCTCCAGACTACTTTAGCTACATCTACCGTTTTCACTTCCATTCCTCCCATGAATCATCGCTTTCTGAATGGATTCCCAGCCTTTGACTGCACCACTTAGTGTATCCTCAGCTTGAATCTAGTAGCTTAAAGGTGGAAAGTTCGTCTGGGCTTTGGGCCCCGTGAGCGCTCGGTATCTGCTGAGGTGGCTGACAGATGTTCTGGTTGGTGGCAGCTGTGGCAGCACACTGCGCTGGCAGACCCGTACGCTGAGGTGCCCCTTATGTTTCGGGCAGGTCACAAAAAGCTCTTCTACACAGTCATGTTGGGGCACGCTGCTTGGCCAAAGCTGAGATGTGAAAAAGAGCCATCAGCAATAGCAGGGTTGCCTGCTTACCTCCGACGTGTAACGCACTCTGCTGAAGTGCTTCTCACGTGGTTCCTCGGTCTTTTGCTCTGCATTCTGCTCCTTCCCAGTCTGTTGCCTCGATATTGTTGCCTCTTATGAGTAGCATGTTATTTCTCCTCAGGGAAGAAAAAAGACCTGTTCGTTAAGCTCTAAGAGGGCTCCCTGAGCCAAGGCTCTACCTGGGGCTAACTGGCAACTGTAAACATGCAGCGAAAATGGCTTTTAGTTAAATCTAAGGCACCACAGGGACATTAGGACTCATTCTGTTCTATTTCCCTTTTCACCTCTTCGGAGGCAGGCTACATCTTTGCACAGCCTCTCATACACCAGTAACATGAACCCTTCTGCTTATATTACCTGATGGAGCTGAGAGAAAATCAGTCAGAACGAGGGTTCATGTCTTATACGCGGAGTTAATTGGGTTGCAAGTGCTGAAATGGTCTTTGTTCCATTATAATTTTACCAGAGCTGAGCTTTATAGGTGAATATAGTTTCCATCAGCAAGGTAAATGCTAGGGTATGTCAGGATTTTACCTGTATCACTTCTGAAATTAAAAAAGTGTAGCAAGTGTTCAAAATTTGCGTTTGCTAAAAGAACCTGCTACAAGTGTGGGCAGGATGCAAAGTTTACATTGGGAAACAGAACTGTTTGCTGATACAAAGATATGATAATTATCATAAGCCATGAGTTAGTCATTAAAAAGTTGAAAATAAAGCTGACCTAATTAGGCTAATTTTGCCCTTCTGTTCAAACTTAGAAATACAGTTTTGGGGAAAACGTAGATCTAACTGTTTCTTAGCTTACCTGGATGGTAACGTTCTCCAGAAATTGTCAGTCAGCCCTGATCCAATGCATGAGACTAAAATAAGGCTAGCACATATGGATTTATTTTCCTTTACCTTCTGTTTTGTGACCCTTCACGCAAGTCCTACATCAAGTTTTCAGTTCCAGCCATTTTCCAAAACACTAAGTACTAAAGACATACTTAAATATTGAGATGTTTGTGGTGGCTCATGATGTTCTGCAGCTCAAGTATCAAGAAAAAAACTATACCTGGTCTTTAAATTACAAGAGTTAGGAAGATGAGAAAGGCTTTACTACCAGCTTAAGATCTGTCACTAGGCTATGGCTATACTGCATGAAGAACAGTGTTTAAAAAAAAACCAGACCTTTAATTTTTAACCAGGTGTTCTCTGAGCCCAGTTTTAGGGTACACATTACCTAAAGATGAAGGTAGGACTTTCAGACAAAGTGAGCTTTTAAAGAAGTGTATTATTACCTGATTTGCATTTAATTTCACGGAACGCATGTCTAGGTAATCTTGGGAGACCCACTGCCTTCTCATCTGCACCCCAGCCAAGCATCTTTGAAAAAAATGAGGCCTTGTATCCTCCTCAGCCCTTGGCTAAAGCATAACTGTCGGGGGGGGCTCTCAAAGCCTAGGAACTATATCAGAGCAAATTACTTAATCAAGCTGAACTGCAGTTGCACGCTGTAAATCAGTGGTGCTTTTTCAAGGGGAAAAAAATGCTTTTCAGCATTTTGTCGGTCGTTTGTACGGTAAAGTTGAGACGACGCGGGGCAATGACTGTTTCTGCCTTGTTGGAAGGTGCAGCTCTGAGCAGAACCTCCCAGGGAGGAACATTTCGTCAGGGAAAGGACTAGGCCCCTGCTTCGCCTGGCACGGAGGGCTCGTTTATCACGGTGGGATTGAACTAACAGCTTCTACTACAGAGATAAATATCTCACATGCAGCATCCACTTAAATAACTCAAAGGGTGAGATCTGTAAAAGAAATGCTTAATCATCTAGATCGTGACCTGTCAGCAAAAGACTTTTTTTTCTTTTTTTCCTAGTGTTTGTCTCAATCTATTTTTACCTTGGGCAGTGGGATAGCCAGCATGTCTCTTGCAAAAGCATTTTCTAATCCCTTCTGCCACAGGATGGTTCCTGGTGCATCTCCTCCGCGCTCCCATCTTTCAGCTTCTTTCCCTCAGCTCTAGTTAGGCTTGTTTGAACGCTCACTAAAAGTACAGACTTCTTCTCTATGCGGTGAACCAAATAGACACATGCAACAAAGTCTGAGTGAGTAATCAATGTATAATCTTGTGGCTCTTTTATGACAGACCCTTTACCTTAGGGGAAAGGAGCGCTCCCCACTCTTGACTCTGACAAAGGCGGCTCAGGTCGCAACCTCTGCTCTGCCTCTGGTTTGCTGCAGCTCTCCCGGGACGGGTGCTGGCAGTGGGCCGCGGAGGCAGCCGCGGGGCTCGGGCTGGTGAGCCACGGCATGGGGACGGTGGCAACACGGCTCTCCCACTCAGGGGCGCAGGATACTCACGAGGGCGGAAATCGCAAGGTCTGATCTCTTTCTTTAAGGCTCGTGATTGCCTTGGGTAAGACGCATGAACGCTCCTCTGAGCTCCTCCTGGAACTAGTGTCTTTGACAGACAAGCGCTGAGATGCTGAATCTCCCTCGAATCTTGCCATGAGATAGTGCTCAGTAATGTGAGAATGAGGCAAGAGCAGAAGTAGACCTTTAGGGAACATTAAGGTACTTCAGGTGCCTCTGAGTTAAGCAATAGCTGAGCAGTGATTTTAGGATCACAATTCTAGATACAGTTAAATCCTTTCCTTCCCACAGGAGAAATGTACAATAGCATCGTCCGCGCATGGAGCGCTGCAAGCCTCTCTCATATGCAGTTGTGTAGCTCACTACTAGAGAACAGCTTATCTGCACTCCTAATTTAGTACGTTCTTTCCCATTTGAGGTTTTTTTGATTCAGGGACGAAGCCTGCTCAGGAGAGCAGACGTCCAGGGGGCGGCTTACTCCTTGCTTTGCGTTGCCCCGGCGCAGCTGATGCATGCCTCTGCTTCCCATACCTGCCCTAGCGAGGGAGGCTGCTGCACTCCTCTTTCCCCCTGCCCGGCAGAGTATTATTTTTGTATCACCATAGAGCAAAGCTTCAGAGCAGAGTTTTCTTTCTCTCTTTCTCTCTCTGTCGAGCACTAAGAATCGACTGTAGCCTCCTGCTGCTGGGCATCAAGACCCTTTGTGGCCTCTTACCTTGTCCTCAACTTTTGTTATTCTGCTCAGCTGGTAAGCACTGTAGACGTGTTGCAGGACATCAGAAGAGAATACGTACATATCAGAAATAACTTCCTTTGAGGGATCTTGCTATCTCTGCTAGTGCTCTTTTCTTCCCTTCCCCTGTCGAGATCAAACATCCATTCTGGATGGAAACTCTGGGGCTCTGCAAGGCAAAGTTTTGGATGCGCTGCTAAAAATGTGCAAGAGAGGCCGTTATCACACTTGCTAGGTCTTTTCGTATAGAGTCTCTCCTCTAATACCTTCAGCAGTCATCATCATTATGCAGCTTAATAAAGATTAACAGTCTGATTTTGAAGTGGGCTGAATGTCTACAGCTTATACTGGCTTCTCTTGAATTCACGGGTGCTCTGCCTGCAGGTGAATAAAAAAATACTATTTTTAGATCCCTGCATATTGGCGAGTTTTATCCTCATTCTTCATTATTGACATTACTGGATTTGTAACATTTTTCAGTGCCCTGCAACTCATGAACGTAACAGGTCTCTACTTTTCTCACTCAGCAGCTTATCTGCTGACTAACTTGCTGTTGTAACTGATAGGGAGCCCACATATTCTCGTTACACTAATAATTCTTCTGAGCTTGTTTATGGCACTTTCTTGACATCTGTTACTGGACACACTCATTGCATAGTAACCCAGCCTGTCTGAGCCAGCAGTAACGCAGTTTTGATCCAGTAGTTAGTGCTGATCAGAGTTCTTTCATTACGGTCTGCCATTCGTTACATGCAGAAGACATCAGGACAGAGCTTTCAAGCTCTGGTGGAAGTGGAATAAATAGCAAAACAAACATAGATACTAACTAAGCGCAATGTGACTTTGGCACTCCTTCGTAAAGCCTCCTTTTTTCCAGTTTCCCCCACGCACAATCTCTTGGGCTCGGGAGTGTACTTAAAAAGTGAAATACCTATTTTTCAACCTTGATAGACAGAAAGCTGGCCTGCCTACACCACTGTCTTCAGAAATATTTTTTCTTTATTTCTCCATGCTCTCAGGCCTTTTCAGTCCTAATGAGTTTGGCTGCAGATGGGTTGTAGCAGTTCACCTGCAGAAAAAAAAACAAACTATCCCAAGCAAACTTGAAGGGAGTAGTTAATTGATTAAAAAACAAACAAAACCCACACAGCTGAGCAGAAATGACTCAAAATTACCATTAGACCCTTAGATAACCCTTAAGGTCAGTTGAAAATAAGAAACCAGTGTTATTTGCCTAAGTGTATAACTGTACTAACCTTGAAAAGAGTAACTAGAGTAGCCATCTGTGCTTTTTTACTCCCTGAGAACCCTAATACCACACTTCCACAGGACAAGCTGATGAGTTTGGAAGGATCAATGTCTAAAACGTGCAAATAAAACTGACAAAATAAGAATTTGTTCAAACACTTCTTTATTAGTTAAAAAAAATATTTCCATGATACCTAGAGATCCCAAGTGCCCGTGCAGATGGACGTGAGGCACTGATCAGTGGGTCCAACCACAACAAACCGGAGCGTCACAGCACTCAAAGCCGGTGGGTCAGGAAGCCACAAAGGACATGGTTAGGGGAGACACGTACCAGAGCAAACTGTTGCACTTTACATACAATCAGGAGTCTGACTTACATTTATTGTGTGATTGGTTTATGAGGCAAGTGAAAGACTACAGTGCCGAATGCGGTTAGTCTGTGGATAGCAGGGGTCTCCTGTTGTGGTGTCAGCTAACGTTTCCATATATGCTCCTCCTCTCGAGCTAGAAGTCCTTAAGTTGACTAATGGCCTTCGTTTTCACCCTGTGAAAAGAGCAAGACAAGAAAATAGATGAGTATTTTCAGCAGAAAATATATATAAATTAAATCAGGAAAAATATTAGCAACGGCAGTCACCACATTAAAAACCATAAACAACGGCATAACAACAAGGACGGCGCGCTGTGCAGAAAACGGGTGATTTATCTGTTCCCTCTGGGAACCAGACGCTTGCCTAGCCTAACTCAGGCCTCTAGGGAAAACGAGGGGGTGATTTCACAGTGGCGTGAGCGGACCTAACCCCGGGCTGGGCTGCCGCTGACAGGAGCATCCTGCTGCCTGCTGCCGTGCACCTCTCCCCACGCGACACACACCCCGATATCGCCCTTGCGCTGCCGCTGGATCAGCGCCGTGCCTTTTCCGGACACGCAACTGCTAGCACGGGCACAGGGCTGGCGAAGGGTGGTAAGTGCAAACTGAGACTTCTGGAAGCTTCAGACGCTGTGAAAACACAGGCGGCGTTTCAGAGAAGCTGAAAACCGAGGAGTACAGGCACACGCGTTAGCGAGGGGCATTGCAGAGCGAGCAGCCAAAGGTCCGCTTGAGAAATGTTTGTTCAGAACGTCCTCGCTGGGCAACGCAAATTCTACCTTCCTCGTTCCAGAGCCGAAACTGGCCCAGGCACTGACATTCGACCCAGGGTTTTAAAAGGACATCGCAGCTAGAATAAAGCAAAAAGTAAAAAGAACTCATCTAAATATAGAAAAATCTAACTTGTGTTCGGTCTTCTGAAGTATGGCCGAGGTGAAAGAAAAACTATTTCATTTGACGATAACAACACGGAAACACGAGCGTGACCAAAATCAGCCAATCTAGCCAATCTCGAATCTAGCAAATCTGTCGCTCCTGGCAGCCCCTTGGTCCTGAAAAAGGAAGTGGCAAATGGGCTCAGATTTTGTCGGATAATTAATGAAAACGGCAATACCCTGGCTTCACGTGCAGCAGATCTAAAATCACCATTGTACAGAAAGCGGAGGGAGCTTTTTTTCTGGGAAAAGCAGGAACACAAAAAAGACCGTGTGCCACCTTGATCACTGAGGACCGCAGGGACATCAGGGCTGTGGCGTCACCTTACCTCTCCGCTGCCTTCTGTGCCTTGCACCGCTTCTCCCGCCGCCCCCGGCTGCTCAGGCTGCTGTGGCTGAGCCAGATCCTCCTGCCAAGTCACAAGTGATAAATTTGTCCTTACCATCACATGCACAGTCATAGCCCTAATCTTAGGCAGACTATTTGAGTAGACTATGCAAAATGGATACATCACATATGCAAAAAAAAAACCCTCGTATAATAGAAGGTAAATATTGCTTTGAATCACATTTTTTGTGCAGTTGGTTAGAGCAGAACCTTGTAAAAGTGCAACTCAATTTCTTATAGTCTGTTTTAGGTTCTTCTTTTCTGTATGGAGAATTAGTTCTTTCTTTGAAATGTTCTTTTATATCACCCAGTCTAAACACTTTTGACTCTTCCAGCGTGCAGAAACTTGGGAGGAACAGATTTGTTTTATCTTTACCTGGAATTAGGTAGATTATGCATAGCATTTCTACACATTATCTTCTTTGCACTAAGCACTCATTTCACAGACTAACGAATACTAATTTCAGATACAGCAATATTGCAGTGGCTTTAATGTCATGCCTCAAATAAAACTTAGCTATCAAAGAACAAGTTATCATTTGTATTTGAAGCCCGAGCATTTTCATAAGCACCTGGAGCTCTTTTAGCTACTTCCTCCCATCTTTTATCTACCTTGCTATTCAAAGAAAAAGAGAAAAGATGCATTATTACCAGGCAATTACTTTAAACGTGTTTGTTTCACATGGGCTGAGAAGACAAATCCTGAACGTGCTGGATGTGCCCAGCGGATGTAGAGGAAACAAAAATGAACCTTTATGGAATCAGGGGTCACCTGTGAGACCAGGAAGAAGCAGAAATAGCAGGACCTCTATGATTCAGCCCCAGTGCACAAGGGAATCCCGATAATATTACCGAGCTTCTCTCTTCCCTTTGAGCCCACATGCTCAGCAACATCCCATAATTTTTAATCTGATTTCCCATATAATGTCAGGGTCACCATAAGAGGAACCTGAGAGATATATATCATAAGAGGGGAAAACTTAATTTTGGATGGAAGGCAGACGTATTATTTGAATTTCAATACTTGGGAAGCGTGGAGCTCCTTGGTGTCACTGCCCATAAAGCGCAAATCAATTGTCCACGTAAAACCTCCTGTAAATAGAATTTTATGCTCAGTGTGTCTTGGAGGACTCTGCCTGAAATTTGTGGGGAGATTAAGATGGACTTTAATCTGTGGGAAATTGTACGTGCATCTTTTTGACATTAGGAGACTTTGTATAGCTAATAACTAATGAAAAAAAGGAAATCTGCATGGGTCTCACAGCTCTTGAAAAAAAAAGAACGGAAAAGGAGGGATCTTCCTTCAGCATCTTCAGACTGTCTCTATGATTCCTTAGTAATGCTTCATGTCACAAACAGTGTGCGAGATGGAGTCCAGCTGTACTTCTACAAATATTTTCTTTTGCTTTTCTTTGGTGAACACGCACTGTTGAAAGGGCCAGGTAGAAAGAGCCCTTTAGGACAGAACCTGGATGAAAACCTTATCATGTACTCTTCGTTTTCACATGTGTCCTTAGCTTCCTGTCCAATCAAAACTTCTCATCAGTAGGACAATAAAGCTGCTGCTCTTATTACTGAATTAGGAAAGAAATGTCATCAAACAAATAGGAAGAAATGGGCATATATCACAAACACTCAATTCCATAAATATAAGGTAGATCCTATGGGAATTTAAGCTCCAGACTGAACTTCAGAGTCATTTTCAAAAAAGCTACTATAGATTTGCTGCTCTCTACGCAAGTTACTGTAATAGATCAATCCACCCAGAAAGAAAATTGCCTGAACATTTGCTTAGGCCCAGTAATGATTTCTGTTGTAGCTTTGGGCATTCTCCCTACCTCCCTGCTGAGAGTTAATTAGTTTATGTATATATAGCCACGTACTGGTGATGTCTGTATGTGAAAAACATAGTGTTTTTTTTTTCCTCCCCTCTAAGAAATATGCTCTTAACTTGCATTGCGTTGTTGGCTGGGATGACTACTGCTATTACCAGTCTCATCTGTGTTAAGTAAGCCCAGGTAATCTAACGACATCAGATTGTGCGCAGGAGGGAGATCAATTTCTGGTCTTAAATTCCCCAACCTAGCAGGGACCTGAGACCGGGAGGGAGACGTCACAGCTCTGTGGGATCACTTAGCTGCAGCCTTTCCTAACCAAGGAAACTCTCTTGCTGCCGGCAAACAATGGTGGCCACAGACAATCACATCCAGAGCTCCGTCCCGCTGCCGTCCTTCTCACAGATAGCAAAATAACTGAATTGGAGCACCAAGAGCTTCCTGAGAAACCTGATGTTAAAAACGAAAGTGAGGCATAATAAACAGGGACAGTAGTTATGCACAGGAGTCCTCCTGATCCACAGACTGATACTGATATGAGTATCAGTATCCCATCCAAAAGATAACAATTAAAACAACTGTGCATATACCAGAAATGAACATGTTGGATCGTTAGCTGCTGTTGGAGCGCACATCCCAACAGAGGCACTTTAACCCAAGCGAGCTTCTGGCCCAGGTATCTCGCACAAAATGCCAGATAAAGGGCTAATCTCTGCTCCCTGCTCCGAGACTGAATTCAGAGAGGCTGATCCGGCCTCAGGATCTGGTCTGTGACTTTAAAACACTTTACCTGCATATGGCACGGTATAAAAATGAACAGCGCTACGCTTCACAACTTAACAGTGCACATTAGGTCAAAGCAGGTAAGCAGCCTGAAAGTGTATTTTAAACCTTTTTGAACAGGCTTACACGCTGTTACGGTGGAAAGAAAAGAAAACGCGGATTCCTGCAATACAAGTCAGTGTCAACAGCTGCAACAGGAGGCACGTGGTAGCTTTTGGGGGGGGTTGAGAGCTGGCACGTGAAACTGGAGGTGAAGCAAAGGCGACAGCCCAAGGGCTTGAGCTGCCTTAGGAAAACCGGGACGCAGCTCATGCGACCACAAGGACAAGGACAGCACACGGAGCCTTGCAGTCAGATCTTTCTGAAAGGAAATGACCACCTACCCCTTCTCGGGAGAGGGGAGCTGAGCCCTGAGAGTTTCATAAATAGTTCACAGAAAATGGGATCCCTCTCTCAGGACGCTTCATCTGAGCGCCATGGGTAGGTCAAAGAAGGCCTCTTCTGTATTACGCTGCTCCCTATATCCCTTGAAATGCACTCTGTGCTCTGACTGCACTACAGGGGGATAAAAATGACTCATCCATCCATTTTTAGAAAGGGAAGGAACCATGTTTCTTCAGAGCTTTCCTAAACCGCCACGGCAGGAACCAGCACAATCACAGGATGAAGAGGTGTCAGGTTGTGTTAAGGTTTTCGCCTCGCAGCCTTTTTCTCACACGCTTCCCTCCCTGCCCAGAATAGCGAACATGATACGAGGAAGGGCTGCTGTTCTTCAGCTGGGCGTTAGCTGGGTGGGGAGTACAGTGACTACCTGCTAAAACCATACATATAGGTCGACCATGTGATGTAAGGGTCTTCATTTTGGATGAAGAGCCAGAAACCGATGGATTGCAACGCCAGCTATCACAGCAATAAGCAGAGTGAAGCTGAGCAAGAAAGCAAGGGTAAAAACCCAGCCTCTCATGAGGACAGTAAAAACTTTGCTACTCATTTCAGTGGTGGTCATCTAATTAAGAGGGATAAAAATGTTCTAATGGAAAGGTGTGTTGCAACCATGGGTTATGTTATAAAACAATGTTTTTTTCTCCATCCTGGAAACGCCTAAGGTAAAATACCTTATCAGGATTCTCTTCCTTCTCTAACAGAGAAAGCACGCTGATGCTGGAGCATAACTGTTATCAGAAAGGCAACAAATTCAGTGGTGAGCAAGCTTTCTTTTTGCTTTAAGGCTATAAAACAGTGGGGTGCACTGGCAACCTGCTACAAATTTAACAGCCCACAATGGGACATCAATTGCAAAAGGCAGAGAAAGGTTCAGCTCACTATAGTGCTCTTGCCCTTGGGTGCTGAAGCAAAAGCAATGTGTTGGGCAGCGTTCCCCAAGCACGCCCTTGTAAGCCCTCAGGCAGCCTGGCAGGCCCTGCAGATGCAGATGCGCTGTGCCACGAGGGCGCAGGCTGAACGCACCCTGAGCGACGCACTGATGCAGCTCTGACTAAGCCCAGCCAGGGTTTAAGGAGAGCAGAGCCACCGACACGAGGCACGCAGACGGGTGCGCACGTTTTCTGCCTTATTGCACAGATTGCTTTCCTAAGGTGAACTCGTGGGGTAGTTTTCCGTCCTCGCCCAGCTAGCTCCCAGGCAGACCCTTCCAGGGTGCCTCAGGGCGGCTCACACGGAGTGCAGGATTACCGGGGTGCAGCCTTTAGTCCTGAAACACACGCTGCGTCTTGTACAGTTTGAAGCTCCACCAATGACATTAACTCAGCTATTCTGCACATCACCCGACGCTGGGATGACAAACGCATGCCTGGCTGTATTAATGAGAACGAGAAAGCAGCACAGCCAACGTGACAGGGTGCAGAGTAGCCCAGCCCAGGCTGCTTTTGCAGTCTCCTCTGTATCACAGGGAGGTGTCACTGCAGAGTAAAACGAAGCTTGAGTACAATGGGGAAGAGATTCAGCTATTTATTCTACTTAATTCTTATGTGCTTAAGCTGTTGATTTCCCTGTTCCTCCTGCTGGGTGTCTCCCTCGGTGCAGAGGCTTAGCAGTTTTGCCCTCCGTGGCAGCTCAGGTGCTCTTGGATGCTCTCTCCTCATTGCACTCACCCTACCAAAAAAAAACTTAAACTGGTAGATGTTTCATCAACTTCTGTCTTTAATTCCTTCAGTGCAACTGTGTTGGTATCAGTGGAATCACACAACTTAAATGAACAGAATGAAGACCATGTATGTGAACGGTTCATATTCAAAATATGCAGCTGTTATGAAAATCATAACCTAAACTACTGGTACAGCACACACGCAGAGAAACGGTGAGGTCTAAGAGAACGCAGACAGCAGTTGCATGTAACTGAACACTCCTGAAATAATTAACGTGATGAAATAAAAAAACATCAAAACTAATTTAAAATGACAGAACTGTGAACTGACAACTAAACTGTACAAAAACTGACAGAACAAATGGAAGATCTAGGTGGAGGGCGAGGGAAGAATAATTGTAGGGGAGTATTAGCTACTGGGAAAATTCCTCCAGTCCCTGAGGGGCTTTTAATGCGTGTGTGCAAGTGCATGTGTGTATGCACACGGGCTTGTTCCCAGCCACGTGGCGTCTGCAATGCAGCAAACTTTGTGCTGTGTCATGCAGAGGAAAAATTAATCCTGTTCTAAGACAGGGATATTTAATGGGTGGTTATCTCACTGAAATCACTTAATGTCCACTCCAGGGACTGAGATGCATGCAGAGCTACAGACCAAGCACATTACTGATAGTTGTCATTCTTTGCATATCGGAAAAACATATGAAGGTTTTATGATCTTTTAGCTTATATATTTTGACTTAATGCTGAAAAACTCCTCCAGAACAGTCAGTCATTTCTTGTACTCAGTTAGCAGCGACCAGGCCAATGACAAAGTTTTACTAAGTGATGCCAACACTAATCAAGGTTGTGCACACCTGGCGCCTGGCACTCCTCCTTCGGTGCAGAGTTATTTCAGGCACGTTTTCTTCTCTCTGGATCCGAGCGCTCACACCGAGGACAGCAGGGAGCAGAAGGGCCTTGTGCAGCAGGGTGCCAACCGCCCCCTGCGTGTACCTGTCTGAGCAGCTGTCATCTTAAGTGGAGAGCTGAATTATTCCAACGCTACAACACTCCCACAGGCCAAGATCGCTACTCGATACACCCGTGTAGCTCCATGCCCCCGTGACTGTAGCCCAGAGCAAAATTTTAATCTAGAACCTTTAAAGTTCTCTGCTCATTGCTGGTACGTGTCTTTCACTGATTCCAGCTGTCAAACACACAGATTAAATGGCAACAAGCTACCTGCAATTGATATTAATACTAGGAACAGTGAGCTGAGAATACGTCTCCTACACCACCCTAGTGCCCTGGCTCAAGCCCCCGGTAGCCCCGCTCCTTGTTCACCATGTACTTACACAGATGCCCCGGCACTTTGAACAACCCCTCTATAAAGTCAGCAGAGGAATGACACTAATTGACAACAGAAATATGCCTTAAGGCAGCTGCTCTTTGCAATTAAAAAGACGACGACCAGATGGAGCACGAACAAGGCTCAGGCCTGTCTGTAACAACTACCTCAGACTGCTGGGGGCTGAAAAGCTTACGTAGGATTGAGAGGTTTTCATAGCATCTCTTTATTTTTCAAACGTGTAAGGGGTCTACCTTTTCACTCCTGGTCTATCTCCAGCATGCCCCTCTACGTACTGCAGCTCCTGGCGCTGCCGCTGGCAGCCTCGGGCTGGGCCTGCACCAGCAAACGGTGCGGCGCAGCAGGAGCAGAGCTGGAGAGGAAGCAGCTGGCGCTGAGAAACAGCACAGCTTTACTCCTTTGGGCCCCGGTCCCACGGCCACTACCCCCTTAGCAGCGGGGACTACTAGGCGTGCGTTTGGAGCACGTCATCTGCTTTGGTGCCACCTGAAAGGAATCCATTTCACGCATTTTGAGACCGCTCTCCGCCGCGAACCGAAGCATGGCGAGCAAGGACGACTGCAAGATTTGCACTCCTCATCTAAACTACAACACCAGGGCAGAAGGCCCCTCCCGTTCACAGATACAAACGTTTTTCCTCAACTCCTTTCTCCTGCGACTTCTTTTGCTTTGTTTTTCTCCTCCTGTTTTCAGTTTGCTGCCCACCTCTGCTATTTGGCATTGCACTGTGACCTTGTATCTAAAGCAGTTTCCTGGCTCCCTCGCTTAGTCTGCCATTTGGCATATGACACATCCCACGTTTTTTTCTTCTTGATCAATCTCCATTATAATTTTAAGTGGGCTGACTTTGACAGAAGGTGCCAGAAATGACACTTCAGATACTTAATCCTTTAACACTCTGGAAAACTCGCAGCCTTTGTGCATTGCCCGCGGCGTGCATAATCCAGAACCATTACTAGGGTGAAGGAACAGCTGATTTTCTATGGGACTATCTGCACAAGGATAAAAACAGATAAAGCAAATCAGCTAGAGGTGTGACATTAACACTGGTAAGTTTTAGCTCATTAATCTTTGGGGGGGGGGGCGGGAAATTTCATTTAGGACTGCAGGGAAAGTGCATTGCTGCTGCTCAGCCCGTGTCGGAAGAGGGGACGGTTCAGTTTACGGGTGATGGGTTCATACCGTCAGCATGTTCCCAGCTTTCCTGGAGAGACCACCCCTGAGCCTGGTCAGTCAAAAGGTACAAGAGGGTAGTCTATCCCCCCTGAATGAGAAACCACTGTTTGCACTCCTGCAACCTAGCTGTCCTGCCCTGTGGCAATAAAGATTAATCTTATCCCAAGGGCTTAGCAGATCTTCTAAATCTGTCCTTTCTACATGTTTTCAAGAGGACATTTTGCGTCACTCATAGCTGCCATTCTCCTCCTTTGTTAGTCTATTCTCTCAGGATTTATATGGTGCGTAGAAGTTTTGTTTCACATCACAATGTGTTTACTGTTAGGTCAGGAAATTCATCAGCCAACTGTCTGAACAATTAAAACAGTTTTGGCTGGCTTCACTTCACTCTGATTCCAGGTTTGGGTTTTGTGACTAATCTGGCTCACATCACTATCAGCTCCCTTGACTATGGCTCTCTAAAGAGGGCGAAAACAACCAAGTTTACCAAAGAAGTACCAAAAATTTGCCTCTAGAACAGCCTCATGTACCATACAAATGGTTGCTATTTGCAGTCACACGGTGAAAATATCTTGTCTAAAGGTCAATTTTGCTTTCATTCAAGGAGTTTTTCTGCTCCTTTATATGCCCCTTCATCCACTAACTTGAACCAACTCAATTTGCCACGTTACATTTGAGGACAGAAGATTTCTTGTTTGAATCTGGCTTAATCAATGTGTAATTTGGATCATGTGGCCTTTATCAAAAGGCGCTTCGTTGTTGTCAAAATCAGCCCAAAATAGAAGACAAGGGTAAGACTTTTTGGAGTCTTAGCCTATGGGACCATGCTCTTCAAAGCCATGCTGGGTTTCTCTTAATTAATGCTGCCATCTACTGCTGACAAAATGGATGGCCCTGGTTGGGAGATGCATCTGCATCCCTTGCTGTGGGCGGGGAGGGGGGGGATTAGTAGAGATGAGCGTGTGGTAAATGCAGAATTTCCAAATATACCTCAAAGCTTTGTATTGTAAAGACACAGACTAGGTGGGAACATAACCCCTGACCTCCCTTATTTTTGTATCCCACCACATTCTGGAACTTTGCCTCCTACTGGACTTTTCACTGCTGTCTTGTCTTGCTTCTACTCAACTCCATGAAAAATTTGCTTTTTTACATTAAAAAGAACAAGGAAAGGCCAAATTTATTTTGAAATATAAAAGTATTCCTCCATCCTGAAAAATTGCTACAGCACAAAAGACAGAAACCCCCAAATAAAAATGCAAATCTTTAAGACCTTGATACAAACCTTTGACTTGTCTTGATGTTTGTAAAGGCAGGCACTCCTTTAAATTTTGAGGAAGCGCACATTTGGAGTCAGATACAAACCATATGATAGCAAAAAAAAAAACCCCAAATGTTTTAAGACCTCACAGAATTTTCAAGCTTAACATAACTTCAAGTATAGTCTATTTTTTGTCCTTGAGCACATGCCCTTTAAAATATGAACATATTCACAAAAGAAACTTCTTCAAAATTAGAAAATGTTATTAGATCTGTTTTAAAAAGGTAGACTAAGACGGAGTGGGTAGGTGCTTGCTATGTGTATCCCGCAGGCATATTATCATAACTGGATCAGAGTTCGTCCTACTGCTATGGAGTCCTATAAGGTAGCTAGTCTCAAAATGTAGTTGGGGTCCATGTATCAATCATCTAAGTCTACAGACACATGGATGAAGATTTTCAAATGCACACGGTACCTCTGGATATCTAATTACTTTGGTAGGGGTAGGGCAGAAGACCACCCACTTCAGAGTTAGTGGTCAACAATTTTACAAACCAGATTCCATTAAATATCATGAACTGGGTGCCCCAATTTGCAAGACAATTTTGAAAATCTTGGTCTTTGGTGCCTTATTGTATCAGCCTGCTTCTGAACAGTTTCATTTACTGCTATACCCACATAGCATACAGCAGGAGACAGTGCTATTACCTTTAAACGTATCTGTTATTAACAGCTATTAAACATTATATAGTAAACATTATTTAATAATATTAAACATTATATAATAATAGATATTGTTGAAATTGTCTCATTAAATAGGTAAAACCGTCAACTGAAAACAACATTTCCAGATATTTTAGGGTGTGTAATCCAGACAAGACTCTTGTGCAGACCGCTGAAGAAACAAACATACCTTTTTTACCACTCCTGTAGTGGCCACAATGGTCTCTGCTCCCTCTACAGTCTTGTTTGCCACTGTGTTCACACTGGCTACTACTGCTTCTCCCACGACATTGGCCTGCTCTTTGGTCTTCTCAGCAACTAGGATTTCAACAACAAGAGAAAGTCAACGAGCCCGGTATTGCCAACAGGCTGCCAAATTAACTGGGACAATAAAATGACTGCACCAAGAGAAGAGAATAAATCAGCCCAGGTAGAATCCTTATTTGGATTTTCTCTATGATAGCATATCCGAATTCAGATCATGTATGTGAGGGCTTCATTTCACTCAAAATGCTGTTCAGAGGAACACAGACACTGCAGCCTGTCAGTCTTCATGGGCAACTAGAGACTGAAAAACTCAATGTAAGATGCTAAGAGACAATTGTGCAAATAAAGCATTTTTGCAATGTAGACTGTGCATGACCTCTCCCCAGAGGTACCTTCTACTTGTCCCTTCTATTTAAATTAATAGATCAGGGCTCCAAAAAAAAAAAAAAAGAATTTAGTCACAAAGGGATCCATTCATATCTGTTCAAGGCAGTCCATGTGGTAGATCTGCCTTGGAGCTTGTGGATCCTACAAGGGTCCCGCCCGTAGGGTCCTTCACTCTGTGACTGGCTGACAGGAGGCTCCTAAAAACTAAGGTTTTGGTCTGACAGGAACTGACACAAGTAAAGCCTCTCTGCAATCTGGACAGCACTCTTGACTTTGTGAGATGTTTAAATTGCTACCAATCAGCAGAGTCTGCCAAATAACATTTGTTAGATTTTTTTTTGACCTGCTCCACTGATTAAATATTTTCTCCCATCCACGTGCACTGCAAATGCCAGACCCTGACCCACTGCTCCTGGCAAGCACCCTCCATTCATCAGACGAAGGTCACGTGGACCAGTGCTGCCTCAAAAGACCTCCTGTTTGGCAGGAGTTTCTTGGCCTTATCAAGAGGCTCAACAACACACTATCAATTTCTATATCTCTCAGGGTTGTGCCCTTACCTGAAGTCACACTATGCACTACACCTTCCTTGGTTTTGGCACCTGTGAAAGGAAGCAAAGAGACCGTTAGTGTTATCTAGCAAAGAGAGCACTGGTTTCTGGACCTGGATGGCTTTCTGTCCTTATGAGGTGTGGTGGGGGCTCCTGGTGCTGTTGACACCTCCTGGGAGGAAGGGAGAACCTCCATTCCTACAGCGTGCAGGAAGGACCAGCTTCTTCTCCCACCAAAGTCAACAAGAACCTCTGTGCTGGGAGCTGGATAACCTCAGCTGTGCATTGCCTGGAGATGCCTGGACTTGAAAAATCTTGATCGTAACGTGTTTGAGTAAGAGAGTCTGTCCCTGGGATATTTCCAAAATGAGAACAACAGGTGAATAGAGGTAAATCAATATCAGGTCAATTGTAAAAATGAATGCATATTAAATGACCAGGTAAAATCTCACTTATTTCAGCCTTTCAAAACATGGAGTTACCTCTGTGACTCCCGCTTGCCTTTCAGCAGGACGTGTGGCCACAGTATGCGTTTAAGGCTTCGTTCTATGCACTTAATAGAGTCTGGAGAGGCTTGAAGCTAAATGTGAAAAACAACAACCCACCTGCTACATGCCGCTGGTTCTCATTTCAGTGCCTAAGTCCAGACTGTAAATGCCTGCTTATAGCAGTAAACAGAATGCAGTTGTTTCTATTTAAAATTATGAAAATATACCGTATATACCATCACATTGTAATTTACCTCAGTTTTCTCAAAGCACAAAAGCTAATGGGATGTGTGGGTATTCAGTCCACAAGAGAATTAGCCCTTAAGGAATAATTACTAGTCTCTGCAGTTTTTTTCTAAGCCTGAGTTGACTTGCTATACCTCCCTTCTACTTGCATACTGCAGCATGTGTGTTATGTTAAATCACGTGGTCGATGGGAAGCCCCTACAGTAACTAGATGCTCCTTCACATTAGAAGAATAAAAGATCAAATTTATCTCTGTCGAAAGTAAAAGAAACATACTCTAAAGGTCTTCCTTCGATGGTTCCATCTTACTGTAATTTGTAAGCCTTCCACAACTACACAGCCTCTTTTCAAGTTTTCATACCAATTCAACAAAGAGAGACAGATTTTTTATGGCCAACTTTCAAAATGATAGAAATACAGAATCAGCCAGGTGCAGATGCACTGGAGCGTCCATGGGTGTAATGGGAGAAGTTAGCTACAAACCACACCTAATTCTCATTAAAAGCCTGAAAAGTAAAACAAGTGCAGCACTCTGATAACAACTGATAGGTAGAACAAAGCTGTCCTACTACAATACGCCCTAAACATTTCACTCCACCCTCCTGAATTGTGCATCCTGAAGAGATGAAATCTTTGTATTTTTTACTTGTTACAGCTATAAACTGCATTTAATAATGACATATATGTGTGCGCACTACTGTAAACTGGATTTAATAATGATGCACATGATACAAGCACGTGTACGGAAGCACAGTAGTGTGCAGACCAGATGTGCATCTCCTTTACGCCATGAACGTAAGCCCCAGAATTGCCCAAATGCACTAAGTTCAATTCAGATGCAATCCTGCTTCCATTTCCCCCCTTCCTCCAGTGCCATCCCAACAGTCCATCCAGTTCCAGCACAAGATGGTCTCAATATTGAGGTGACATGCAAGACCTTCTCACACCGGACACAGAGGTTCAAGCTTAGCCCTTCTTTGCTGCTTCTTGGTCAAAGAGCATTTCTAAGGTAAATCAAGTATGTAATTAGCTGTCCTGGACTCATTATTTTTCAATTTTGCAGTAAACATACTAAGTGAGACAAGAAGTATACTTATATCATGTATATTTTTTTTTACCAGGCTTTTTACCTAAGATGACCAGCTGGCCTTGATTCTTTTGCAGGGGAATAGGAGGAGGTATTTTTAAAATGGAAAATAATTCCAGAAAGAAGGAATTATTCCAGAAAGAAGGGATGCACATACAAGAAAAACATCTGAATACATTTCATGGCAGAAACAGAAGAAGCAACAGCTGTAGGAAACGGCACTGCCTGCAGCTTCAGCACAGCTTGCCTCCTCTTTCAAAAACACTGCCACGACCGCACCCGATGACTCAGGCGCCTGCATTCCTTATGCACCACACACAGTCTGACCTTCCGGCAGATACCCTTGCCAGCAACTGGCATCTCTTGCATCCAAAAGCAATCATCTCACGCTCAATCTCAGTATTACTCATTAGTCTTTGCCCTTAGCTTGTATACTTAGAATTAAAAGTTCATACATCCTGCCCCTTCTGCAAAAGGAGTGTCTCTGCTGCGCAATACCCATTACAGCTTTGTATTTTGAGGGGGGGATAGAGGTGGTGGAGGAGCACTGTGCACTGGGAAAAGATTCGTAGCAGAAGAGTATTATGACGTGCAGTAGTCTGGTGGGAGTACTTGCTGGAGTCGCTTCTTAAGTAGAGCTTAGTGCCTTGGGGCTTTTTGCAACGTGCATGACAGTAAGTGACTCTGGAAAAAATAGAAGTGCACTCTGCTGAGGCTTCCTGACTTATCATATGAAATAGTGGTAATGACTTCATACTCAGCTCTGTGACTGATTAGGATTTTTCCTTTGTCTTGGTGACACCTCTGATGCAGCGTTGCATTAACTTCATCATCACTTATCCCCCTATTTAAACCAATTAAAAAAAGACAGAATTAACTGCTGGATACAGATCTACTGTGCAAGAATCAGCCGCACCTGCTGCAGAGCCAGAGACGGTTACCGTCTGGAGAGCAGACTGAGTTTTCTCCAAGTGCACAGGTGGCCCATGCTACAGGATTTCTCCTTCTCTCTCTGTTTGTGCACCCCCTTCCCTTCCCTGCACCCTCAGCAAGCCCCCAGGGGACCCCCCATTCCCACGCCCCGCTGCGTGGCGGCAGCACCTCTCACCAGCCCAGCTAAACCGCACTGCGGTGTTAGCACAGGCGGGAGGGAGGCATCTCGGGCACTGGCATAGGCTGCGGGAACTGAAGCTGCCTGGCTCAGGCAGGGGAGAAGAGGTGGCAGCAGAGCCCCGATGGCACCGTCTGCTCCAGACGGATGCCTCAGAAGGAGCATTTATTTCCTGGGGCCGCAGTGAGTGACTTACCAGGTTTGGTGGTTGTGCCTGGCCCTCGGGAGTCCTCCAGAAGGCTTTGGACTAGTCAGCAATGAGTTAATACGGATGTGAACAAAAGTGAGGGATCCCCTTCACTTCCCCACCTTATTTTTCCTATCCCCCTTTTCCTGACTTTCTGAAAAGACTCTAAAGCTTCAATACAGGTATTATTTTCTCCTAGCATTAGAAAATTCAGGTTACTTCACCTAACACCCAGAACAACCTGTTGGGACAGGGCTATGCAAAGGAAGGAGTAGTGAAAGAACAGTTCGGCTCTTTAATCAACACCTTCTGTGGCACACAGTGAGGAAAAGGGGCACAGACGACACACTAAGCACTCCAGTTTTAATGGATAAACCTGATCTTCGCCTTCTTTGCTATTTAAAATCAGTTCTGTGAGGTAATCGGCATCTGGCCTTCACTTTTTCCTTTCTGTGAAAGGCTGAATGTTCCCAAAAGGGCTGAGCATCCCCCCACCCCAGCATGCAGCAGAAACCGAGCATCACGCAGAATCCGCCCCAGTACAAAGCAATATCCAGTACATGACTGGGTGGGAATTGGTGGTACTCCTAGAAAAAATAAAAAACAAAACAAACAACACAAAATAGAAGCACGTCATCTTTAACTTGGTCCTTATTCAGTGATTTAGGTTTTACACAGGCTTTCAGAAAAGTTTATTGAAAAGGTCAGAACATGAGCAGACTCTGTACTTCACCCCACAGCTGCACAAAAAGAAAAATAGGTTACAGGCTGAAGATAGAAAACATTACTGAGAAGAGATGGGAGGAATGATGTATAAAAATCTCTGAATGATCCCTTCTGACGCTGCTTAAACCAGGAAGCAGTTGGGGCAGTAGCAATGCCACCATCCAACGCGTAGAGGTGACATTTCACAGACTACTGTTTCAAATATTGCTCTTGGCTGAATTCCTTCCAGGGATGCTGCTTACTTTTTTGCTTGTGAGTCAGCTCTAAATTGAAATGTGAACTGATATATACCATGAAGAACATGTTCAGTTACAGCATGCCAATAAAATTTTGGGATGAAGATATTAGCAGATCTGCTAAACACAAAATTTATATTCATTTGTAATCTAAAAACGTATATCTGTAACTAACATGCATATAAGTATTTTAGACATGGTAGCTACATACAGCTGTGGCTATTGTAGCACGATGGCAGGAAGAGCCTGTGTGGAAACTTTCCTACTGAAAAATAAAAATCTTTCCCGTATCTAGCAGACATAAAAAGCTGTAAAAGATGCAGCAATCAGCACCCAGCTAATCAGTCTTGGGAATCTAAGACTTTATAGGGTCTGCAGTATCTAGAATACCTGACCACCCAGCCCCGTAACTGTATGCACTAGATAGGGAAGATACCGGGTTTCAAGGGCAACCTGGAAACAGGGGGTTTCTGAAACAGAATATTAATTGTCAGAGAGGTTTCTAGACAGGACAAAACACGTGCTGTTAACCCAGAATCTACGCTTTGGGCAACAGGAATTTAGGTTATCTCTTTTGTAAAGCAAGATTAACGGGCGCACGGCGAACAAAACAGGTCAGTGAGCAGGAGAAGGAGCTCAGGATAAAACGGTATGTTTGTGGGAAACCGGGACGTCCTACAGCGCCCAGTGACTAGGGCTGCGGGTCGCTCTCGGGGACCTCGCTCACTGCGCTGCTGACGGTGCTGCGGGGGGAGCAGATCACCGGTGCTCCGAGAGCCGACTGATTCACCCTGAAAACAAGCAGTGAATAATCATAACGTAAAACTTCCACCTGAGCATCTGCTTTTTAACGTTTTACGTTAATTCTGCCTCCCATGAAGTACTGCCAGTTGCTATTTCTAATCTACAGCTGAGGAAACTGAGGCGCAGAGAGGCTGTGGCATCCCAGGCTTACACAGTCAATCTGCAGCCGAGCTCAGGACGTGATCGAGACCTCCTGCCACTATGAAATTTTGCCAGACTTTCTCAAAGAAAATCTATGAGGCAGCTCACACTCAAATATGAATGGAAAATAGTTAGCTCTTACCTACATACATGACACCCTCTTTGGTCTTCTCTGCAGCCTCTGTCACTCCCTGCTTGGTCTTTTCTGCGGCAGCCACCACACCTTCTTTAGCAATGGAGAAACCTTTCTTGAAGACATCCATCCTTTCTGCAGGATCTGTGGGAGGGAGAGCAGTAAAAAACACCTCAAGACAGTGACTGCAATATGCAGTCTTACCCTGCGCAGAGATTCACTTTCTCTGCCAGTCTCTATCTTTGCTCTTACTCCTCTGCTGGATGAAGAGAGTGTGGCAAACCTCACAGAGCCTTTGCCAGCTCTTATTGATCAAGTGCACTGCAGTGTAGCCAATGCCTGTGAATAGCTGATACTGAAATATTAATGATATGGATCTGCTTGGCAAGGTTTAAGAAGGGAGGGGGGAGAGGAGAAGGACATGGGTAGGTAAGGGACTTTCTGGAAAATTTCCAGATGGATAAGGCTTTTAAAATGTACTGTAATGCTCTCACTCAAGGACACTCTCCGATCCTTTCATGTGGAGAGGGAGATTTTTATCTAAAGAGCTGAGTTCCTGAAAGCTCATCTCCCTGAGGCTGCAGCAAGAAGGAAACGCAAGCTCCTGTGGGTCCCCAGAAGCTGGAAAGCACGTAAGGCAGGTAGCGTTTGTAACAAAACAAACAGGGTCAGGTTTCTTGGTCTAGCATTTACCAGAACTCATCCTGCACAAAACAGTAACAAGAACATTATTGGTAGTAAACACTGACAGAAAAAGGGGAGCAAAAGCCATTAGCTAATGCCTGGTGCCCAGGTACAGGGAGCTGAACGTCCCATTAGCCATGTTTGTGAAGTCTGAAGGTGGCCCCTCAGGGCATTTAGTACGAATTACGGATTTTGCTTGGCTTCACATCCCGTTACAATGGTTCATTTCTGAAAAATCAGATGCCTGCTGAAGGAAATCCTGTTTCCTATTTGTTTCTCTGAGCTGCTGTAGACAGAGATCAGCAAAGCTGCTGCAGAATGATGCAACGTTTTACACAGACACCATCACCTGTGTCAGAGGTGCGCGTCTCAGGGCACAGTGGGGTGAGCAAACCACCCACCTGAGAACTGACTGTGAAAATCTTTTTAGTGTGCATAGAAAACCCATCCAGGCTCAAGGGCTCACTAGCAAAAAAAAAAACATAATAAAACATATGAACATTAGTCACAGTTGGAAATCCTGATATGCCTTAAGTTAAACCTAAATTATCTTCTGAAATAGATTGTCTCACTAGTAAACTGATATTCGAAGAAAGTAAGGCTGAAAGCAATTGCTGGTGGATTCCTGTTATAATCAGATGCTTAGCATTTTGTCCTGTAAAAGCCGACCACGAGGTGATGGCTTTTTATGGTGCCGTCCCTGAAGCTACGGACTCAGGAAGCACCAGTCTCTGAACACAAAACGTGCCTGGCTTTGGCTGCTTTCTCTTATCAGGCAAACGGAATATTGAACTGAGAGGCCCAACGGCATTACGTGAGGGTAGTACGCTGCAATGCCATGAAGCGTAATGGTCCGTAAGTCACTACTGCTATAAGCTACCAGTCTGGAAGATTCAGATGGGGAATGACTACAGAGTGAAAAGGCAGAAGCCGGAATAAAAAATAATGCATATGCACATGCATGCAGGCATGCGTGACATGCTAGCTCTTACTGCTGAAGTGAAGCATATTTCTTTAGATTTTGGGAGTGTCTTTACACTCCATTGTGAAACAGCTGAAAAGGCTGTCGATCTGGAAAATAATATATAGATTTCTTAATCTCTTGTTCTCACAAATGGTTCTCCTTGATGATAAATGGAGAACCAATTTCTATTTAAATGTAGAGGAGTCAAACCTGTGAAAGCCTGATAAATTTATTGATTGTTAGTTAAAAAAAATACTGTAAGGTTCAGTGGAAGGCCATTACAACATACTAACAGTACATTAATTTCAGGTTAGATCATTATTACATAGAACTGAGAGGTGTCATTGTTCTAGACTCTGATGCAACAATGAGCGAAAAAAGTTTTTTTTCCCATTATCTTTCAAAATTTCCTTTTGGTGGCTGACTGACTGCTACCCAAAGTGCTCAGCTGGTGCTCATTTCTGCTCCCAGTCTACTCTTAAATCAGATATATGGGTCGTATTTTATTGTACAATCAATGGTTTAACCTAGCTGCTCTTGGAGTCAGTGGTGAGACTCCCATTGTTTTCATTAGGAGCAGGGTAGGTGTCATGTTTTTAATATGTTTGCTAAAACGTGAATTTGCCATTTTTGGGAAATGCTACGGGGCCCATTTACTTTTTCACCAGACTTTCAAAAAACATTAAAGTATAGCGCAGAGCTTCCCAGGGTTAGAGGTGGAACTGGTATTTTCTCGAGAACTGCCAGCTTGATAAAGCTGAGCAAGAAGGATATTCTGACTTTGTTAAACTAGTGTTCTATCATTGCAATTTGTACAATTGAATTCTACATATTTTGCTTTGTTACCAAGTTAACAAACACATGAAATATCAAGCCATTCTGGAATATGAAACATGAATCATCATGAGATTCAATTAAGCAGCGCCTGAATGGGATACTCCTTTCCTGCGTTCTCCTCTCCTGTTGACCTTCACAAGAACTCGCAAGAGGCATTTAAATTTTTTCTGATCACTCCCAAGACAGCAAGCAGTTTGCATAGGCATTGTTTTACCTTCAGGAAAGCTCTGGACTCGAAACAATATCGCAGGTGATCTAAACAGAGCAGGCATGATCTAAACAGAGCAGGCATCGTTAAAGGCTCCTAAACATTTGCCATCCCATGGCAATCACGGTACCCTATTCTCTATTCTAAGCAGAGGATTCAATCCTGATTTGTTGCCGATCCTGCCTCAGGCAAACCTAACAACAGGAGTTCAGATAAGCAACCTTGGCTTTAAGGTTTTGCTGGGATATCAGCTCTGTGTCTGAAAAATGTTCTTCCATTTGTATTAGCTCTCCCACAACAGAAAAGCGTTATTAAAATTTAGAATAAAATAGGTAGTTTACAGTTAGCAAGCTAAAACTATTAGAATCCACGAGTGCTCTGCACTGTTATTGTTATTTAGAATATCGTTTTCCAGTAGGTGAGGCAGGGTACAGCAAAGCTTTTAGTCTGATGTGGAAAAGGGTTAATTTTGGGTTTCATCCAGTAATTGTCTGGTATGCAACAAGGGAGTAGTTAATGCAGAATGAACAGAATGCATCATGAGATGCAAGATAAGCTCTTGACATGGTGACAATCACGTATCGTGGAAATAAGGAGATGAGTCCTCCTAAGTTAATCTCTCTTTCTCTACCATCTCCCTTAGGACCCTGGAAAGGACCCCATTAAGTTAGACATCACTGAGATGCCCGAGCTGTAGCGAGTTCCCCCGCTGTTTTTATTTAGTTTTATTCAGATGACTTTGTAACTGATTTGTGTCACACAAACATTTAGCTGCTTTGCATTACAGCAAAAGAAAGCCTCAGCTTCCTTTGTGTAATGCCTGGCGGGGCAAGCGGAAACTTCTTTTCATGAGCTATCTCCTCATGTCCTGTCCTCAGGCACCTCTCAGGAAAAGCTGTGATCCCTTACGGGACAATGAGAGTTACACCTGCTAACACCAAACACAGGCTTTTTTCTCCACTTCTTCTTAAACAAAGGAAGTTGGAGAATCCACATACCAGTTTGAAGAGTAATTTTTATATATGCTTGGTGTGCCAAAACCACATATACTGCACATCCATCGAAACAGCAGCTACCTGCTGAAGCTCAACAGTGGGCTGCTTTCGTTCACCGTCTGTGTAAAAGTAAGAGTCGGCACTACTCCAGGCACGGTTTACCAGCGCGGGTGGCTGAGGGGCAGCACGTGTCCAGGAGCCGAGAAGGAGGGCAGGACACGGGAAACACGTCCTGGCTAAACGCGTCTTTGGCTCTGAAGCTCCGAGCCCTGCTCTCAAACCATCATTCATTTATCGCCCGAATCTGCCTGGTCGGGCTCGTCTGCTGCGAGTCTCTCTCTGCCCAACACAAGGCGTTTGGAGAGTCCCCGAAAGGTGCAGTTGCCCACGCCGGGCCTGCCTACCCCTCTGCCCAGGCACCGCTGGCCTGACAAGTCTGACTGCAGCCTAACTGCTTTCTTCCCAAAAGTACAACCCCAAAGGAAATACAGGAATGCAAAGGACAAAAACTGAAAATTCCCTGTCCTCTACTGCCTGACTTTTTCCTCACGCCTACAGCAGACTTTCTTTGTTGCTCTTTCCTCCTTTGTTTTCTCAGTTGCAAGCTAGTCCGTGGTCAGGATCTTAACCTTGTCCTTTAACAAGGAACTTGCACTGGAGACTACCAGCTGACAAAGGAATCTCCCTGGATTCACCGAACCAAACGGGCTTTGGTCACAGTCTATTTGAGTATTTAAATGGTGTAGGATATTGTCTGAAAGAAAGGTAAGGAAAGGAAAGACAATCAGCTGCACTTGTGGCCAATAAACATCCTTTGTTCAGGAAGTTTTTGTAGGCAGAATAACATTAACATGCAGGATCAAACCTTGCTCCATATAAACAAAAACCCTCTCTTTCTCCCTCTCGCCATTTATGGATACTTCAGAGTGCAGAAAGGAGAACTGTCTCAGACCGTTAATTTACATGCTCTAAAGAAAACAAGGAGCTCTGTGTGACATCCTCTTGGCAAACAATTTAAGACTGGAATCTCTGTGTGCATGTTTGCATAGTTAATGAGTAATTTCCTTTGTCAGGGAATAATAGTGTAAAGTCTGACAGATAAGCAGCTTCTAAGGCACATACCCAGAGAGGGGAGTGCTGCTAGCACAGCACTCGGCAGTCTTTAGAGACTGTTCTCTACTACTGAGCATCATTTATAGATTTTGAGCAACCTAAAAAAATATACTGCCAACAAGAAATCCCCTTCCTCCTCTGAAGGACAAACTACTGAAAAGAATAACTTCTTAGCCAGGCCGTCTGCCTAAAAAAGAAATTTCCTGACACCGTTCTTTGTGTGCTCTCACCCATGCAAGCCAACTGCGTCCTCCTTCCCTGGAGGCAGCGCCCGGGGAACGCCTGGGTGCTGCGTGAGGGCAGGAGCCGGACACGAGAATGAGATGGCGCTTTCCAGACCGGAGCATGAGACAGCATTTTCCAGATTTAAAAACCAATGTCTGACGAGCACCTATCCCCTTGCTGTGCAGATATCAGCAAAACTGTTCTGTTCATCTTCACAGACATAAAATCCTTTCAGCTGTTCAGTCTGCCTCAGAGATTGGAAGCTGGGATATATGAATCTGAAGCAATATATACTTATTAAAATAATTCTAGGTTTTCTCAGCTTTCTAGACATTTTTCCAAAGCTTCTTTTTTTTTTTAGTACTCAGATTCTGAATTTAAAACCATAATATAGATTTAAGACCATTATGGGGTAGACAGTGAATCTGGGAAGATACAGAAGAAATGAAATATAATCTATTAATTGAAAATTTAATTTCAAAGGGCTCTTTTTCCAGAGAAAAACTAATTGGTATAGCCAGCGCATCTGCTTTCCAAGTATGCACAAGCTATTTATCAAACATACTGGCTGGCACTGTTTACTGTCTGGTCTCCAACCTCCTATTGAACCGGAGTTGCAGGGCTGTCGTACTAAACAAAGAAAAAGTGGTCGAGATGAGAAAGTGGATTTCAGGTCTTACCCAGCTTATCCAGAAGAGCGTGCAGCTGTTTGACAGCTTGCTTATGGAACTGCAAATGGCACATCGGATTCTCGGGGCAGGCAACACTGGATGGAGATTAGAGCTACGTTAAACATAAATAGTTTTGGCAATTAGCAGACAAGGCAAGGGTAGTCATGAAAATTATCTGCAAGACCACAGAGTGTATGGATGAGTCTGGTGTAACTGGTAACGTGAACCGTTACGGAATGAAAACAACGTGAAAAAGTATCTTTCAGAAATACTTAGGAAAAAGCATTTTCGTGAATAAGGGCACAGGGGAAAAACAAAACAAAAAAACCCTTACTGACTTGGAGACCAAAAATGGAGGAAAAATACGTATCACCTGTCAAATTTAGCTGCCAAAATAGAGTTTGTTTGTTTGTTTGTTTTTTACTAGTTGTTCTGAGAAGTGCCAGAAACTTGTCAGACGTATCAGGGCAGTTACCAAACGTGCTATTATTATGCCACTTACTGATGGTGCTTCAAGTATGCTTTTGGAGTAACACCTATTTCCAAATCATTTTGCAAACTATGCTTTAAATTGTATTTATTTCACCCATTTCTTCCATTCCACCAGCAGTACTAATATTCTGAATGGCTCTGTAAGGTGCACCAAGCTTACAATAAAGCAGGTAACTGAACAGTAGATAGATATCTATGATATTAGTTGGTGCACAGTTGTCCTCCTCATTCAATAATTACCTCCTGGAAAGGACTGACCTCAAAAGGCAATGAGCGAATTATTATGGAAAATGGCCATATACATCTGCTTTCACTGGTTCCATGCTGATGCTCCTGCTCAAAAGAGGAAAGGTCGTTATGTATCACATTCCTAAATGGGGACCTCACGCTTATTCCTCTAGAGATGTTAAGGAAGAAAACTTACAGCTCAGCTTACAGTCCACCAATAAATCAAGTGTTATGAACAGACAATACAAGCTGACTATATTATCCAGGGACTCTAAATCAGGACAGTTGAGAAGACAGAAATCTTGACAAGTGCTGTTTAGTAAGGAGGAGCCTTTGAATAACTCGCACCTTCCACATATTCATTGCAGCGTCCTATGCTGCCCATCACAAGGAAGGGGATGTCAGTCCCCAGCACGCTCAATATTTCAGCATCTTTCAGAACTGCTACCAAATAGTTATGTTACATTATTAACTTGCAAAAGGCTGAGCAATCTGTGCCTCTTGATTGCTGCGTTTGCAGGCAGTATGTTTTAAAGATACATAGAACAAATTCTTACACCTGACAGAGACACAGCAGGACGGCAGAGAAACTTTGCCCCTCTACTTACGGGATACCGCATCTGACAGGAATAAAGATTTAATAGATGAGGCGAGACTAAGAGAAAAAGTATAAGCTGAAAGACAAGTCCAAAGGTTTGGAAGTAGGTCCCAAATGTGATAACTTCATCATCTGTAGCACAAAATCGCTTTTCTGTAAGCCATGACCACATGGCAGCTCAGGTTTTGCTGAACTAGTCTTTGTTTTGCTTCAGGTTTGTTTCAGTTCCTTCCCAATAATAGATCTCATTAAGTAAACAAACACAACGCTTAGGTCACATCCAGTTACTCGTAAGAAAGGTACATTTGCATGTGAAGCATGGTACATAAAATATTCACGCATCAACATTAATGTGCATCATAGCAGGATGCACACATTATGAATAAAAGCAGCAGGAAGGAACAGAAGGAAGTTGCTTGTTTCTTTCAGATTTAAGTCCAGAATTTGCAATTTTGTCTCCCTAGAGAAGTGCCTACAGCGAGAGCAGGTTTCAGCCTTAGAACTGCCAAAGCATCTCTCCATCTTGCCCCAGGCACCGCTGCTGATGCCCTGTTGTTCAACAGCTTTTGCACAGTGGCGTCAGTCACAAGTCAGTAGGAGCATTTCCATGTTTTTCTGGGTTCTTCCATGAAGTATAAGAGGCAATTAGGAGGAGAGGGGTCCGTTCTAACCAGTGATAAGGAAATGCAAATCCATGGTCTTTAATAGCAAGCCCTTCCAAAAACCTGAAAAGATTTTATGCCCTTTGGGCCGAGTATCTCATCATTCAAAGTGAGACACAATCTAGCAGTCCTGCACCAGAACTCTCACCTTCTTGTCAGCGGAGCATCATTCTCCTGACTTTATCCTTTAAAGTGCCAGAGCGTGACATGCTGTAAGACAATGAAAACAGAAATACACCGTTCACCTTAGGATAGCAGCAACACTAAAAGCAGCACCATCAAGTGAATCAAAGTCAGTAACAAAACTGCAGCCAACCTCCACAGTCATTTCTATTTATTAGTCGCATGAGGTGAAAGATGCAGCAACTTTACAGCAGCTCTTGTCACGTTTTCCTTTTTTTAAATAACAATTAAAAATCCACACTGTATTAGGCTCAAGGTGGTGACCCAGATGGGAATTCGCAAAAAACCTCAATAATCCTGACCTCTCCGAAGGTCTATTTCTTGAAATTCATAACCTTTGATAGGAATAGAGTATGATCCACATACAATTATATTGCAAAGTCCACACAGAACATAGAAAAATGGATGTTTGTAAGCTCATTATCATTGTGCATTTACTCTGAATACCTTAATGACCTTAATTTGTTGTATGCACTGCAAATATTCTGTTGGTAAAGTTGGTGTGTTTCAGGCTCTAAATCATAGCAAGAATATTTGCAGATACTAGAGCAAGCAAATCTGTGACATTTTCTGGCACTGTAATGAGGGTCTGTTACACCACTCAATATTTTCTTTCCTTTCTTTTCTTTTCCTTTCCTTTCCTTTAAAGCTAACATCCTTTTCCTGTGCCTGAGGGAGAAGGCAGTTGATAAAAGCTGAGTTCCTGTTCACAGATAAGTTTAGAAGGCAGCCAAACTCAAAAGTTCCTTGAATAAGTTATATCCATACCACCTTTTTTTTCCTCTGTCAGAGACTTTTGAGCCCCACACAGGAACCAGACTCACATTGTTCAACAGCCACGGACATTTCCACAGTAGCTGGGAGGGTCGAAAGCCTTTTCCGTTCTTTGTTGTAAATCTTTTTTTTTTTTTTTTTTTTCTCCTTCCTTCTTCCAACTTTTCATTTAAAGAATATTACTGGGGGCATTCCAGAATTAATTCAGGCTGTGCTTCACAGAAGAGAACAAGGGACAGGTGTAACTGGGTAGAAGAAAAACTCACAATGCTAGTGAAGTTTTTGCTCATCTACAACACATTAGGATTGGCAAAGTTAGTCAAACACTCAAACCATCATGGTTACCATGCTGGTTCGTCGCACAGCTCAAAGCCACAAACGTATGAGACTTCTACATACCCTCAGTGGACGCCTCTACAACAGGCAGAAGGTGGTTATTGGGAGGCAGAAGTGCTCAGGGAGGATACTCAAGACTACCCTTCAAATTCAGTCTCCTCACATCAAGAGAGAGAAGATTTTGAAGCTGAAAGCCCACAGTCCCGAAATGAGTAAGTACCAAAATATGTGCATCTGACATGTACAGACAGTGGAATCCTGTCTGATAAAGATAACTTGTTAATAAGGGACTCTTTACAATAGAAGTTTATCATTAAAATATATTAGATTTTAGGAATAAATCTATATCCGGACAGGATGGGTTTAAGTGTTTTAGCTAGAGAAACAAAAAGCTAATTTGCTTATGGAGGATGAAACCACAGGTGGGACCAATTCCGTGTCCTCGTCAAAGAAGGCTGAACGAATTTACTAGCTGTCTGGACTGACCTAGCATAACGAAGCCAGAGAGGTTGTGAGAGGCTTGCAGTTCTGTTGTAGCATAATTAAAAAAATATATATACTTCTAGCAAAGCAGAACTCAATGAAATTCAGCTAGTGCCTTTTCTGTTTACAAACCAATGCTGATTTTTGCAGTTTTATTTATTAGGCAGCAAAACTTGGCAGTCATGGTGTGCTTGCAAATTAGCTCTTTTTCTATTTACTCTTTCCTTGCTGTGCTGTTCACATGATAATGTTTCTTTTCCTGGACTAAATAACAATTTGTAAATAAAGAATAATGAAAAATATTTAGCCTTAGCCATGCATGACATGTCCTTGCTAACTTACAAAAATACATTAATACCATTCATGGTCCCAGCATCAGCATGATAACAAGTCAGTCTGTAAGAATGCTACCTGCAGACCTTGATTCAGCAAGGTACTTAAGGCACACAGTTAATTAAGGCATATGTTAACTAAACATGTAGTCAAATACCTTTCTGATATGGCCATTTCAAATCATAAAGGGAGGGAATGCGGTCTGGCCAATTTGTTCTTCAGAAAAAATGAATGATTTTGAAGCCTGTGTCAACCTTTGCCCACCATCAGAACACACCTGGCTACAGACGTGGGCCTTGGCAAGGGAGGGGGAAAGAGAATGGCAGGATGTTAGCAAAATAAAAATAACGAAGGCACTCAGTAATAAGTAAGCATGAAAATTACTAGGAATTCAAACAAGAAGAAGTTTTACAGTGAAATGCTTCTCATGGTAATCCATAGCAAAAGAATAGCCAGTCCGAGTAGAAGGGGCACGTGTTTTGCCAGAAAGATTTCTAAACACTATGACTTTTAGAAGTTTTACAGGGCATGGAAGTAGGTCTCTAAATGTTTAAAATGGATGAAAACTGAGCAGGAGAGCGAATGAATCTTTTATAGCACTGATGGGTACTGCAGAGCCCTATTTGGAGCAGCCAGAACAGCAGCACAGTGAGTGCTGTTCACAGCTCAGTGCTTTCGGATGCACTGATATTTGTCTTTTTGAATGCTGTTGAGCAAAGGAAAAGAGGGAGATGGAAAAGACTATAAAACCCTGCTCACATCATGCCTTCTTTCCATGCAAAAGTATTATGCACCCTTGTTTCTAAATCTGATCTAAGCATAAAGTTAAGGTCTCTTTGCCTGTAGCAGGGTGTGGGTGTTAAAACCCTGTTTTCCCTCATGCCACATGCTTCCTCCCTCAGATCTCACACCATTAACCCTAGGGCATTTTCTAAAGCCTGTAAAGCGCAGACTTCCAGTTTTCAGATGGGGAGCGTTCAATAATAACATGCACCACTAATTCAACAGCTCCTGGATAATGCACCACAGGCACCTTCAGAGCAAGGGAAACAGCAGAATCTCTCCTTTGGACTTGCTCGTTGTATTGCAAGGTGGTAAACATTTGATTGCTGGTTAAAATATTAAGAACATTCTGAAAATTCCTCAATACCATAAGATTTCAAAGGTGTAAAAAGGTGCATGTATAAGTCAGTAAGGTACTGTAATATCCTCTCAGAACAGATTTCTTCCTTTGCTGTTAACTCTGTTCAGCACCTGCTATTATTCATTCTAATTTCCTCCCAAGAAAAGAAATACTTCCTCCTTTTATGGAGATGGTTTCATAATGAGTCAAATCATAACGTCCTTCCCAATTATAAAACAATGTTGATGACTACATTTAAAATCTAGCTTTTTTTTTTTTTTTTTTTTAAAAAAAAGCCTGTGGCCTTAAGGTATTTGCTATTTTGCTAGAACAATCATGTTTATAGTACACAAGCCTAGGAAGGTGGTATGAATTCTGAAAGAAATTTGAGACTTTGAGAAGGACTATGTCCAAAACTGAGGGGAGAGAGCGAGAACAACAAGGGGCAGCACTGCTCCACTTGCAGTCGCACTCTGAATTCCAGAAGTCAGAGCAAACGGCCAAAGCAGCGTGCGCTCAGAATCCCCAGATCCTCGAGCCTGCACGGCCTCAGGTACCCAGTTAGGCATACATAAGAAGTTCACATGAATCTGGTATTTCTTTCCTACAAATCTGGCATATGCCCCTGGCTGTGCTAGATTTGCCACTGAAAAACTGGGCCTCTACCTCTGAAGGAAAGATCGGAGGGGTGGGGAAAAAAAAAGCATCAGGAGTTGAGAATTAAGAGCTATAGGGAGATACAGACATGTTGTGGAAGGGCCTGGGGTGGAGGAGGATAATTTTCTACAAAGACTGTGTCCAAATATCTAGTTTGCTTTTAAAATAAGAAGGTACAGTCTTTTCAAAACTCTTCTAGGAAACACAAAATAATCTGTGGTAGCTGTGTTCATCAGATCTATTCTTTCTAACAAAAATTATGTTTTTTTTTCCAACTTCTTGGTATTTTTCCCTATGTGTTAGAAACAGTGATTGTTAGAAGATATTCTTACAGTTTGCTTTAAAATGAATTTTAAAGTAGTATTTTCTCACTATGGTGATTTGAATAATTGCAGACCGTAACAACTAACAAGGCAGTTAGTCAGATCATCCTCTGGTTTCCTTTCAACATGTGAGCTGAAATGACCCATTACATCCCAGGCAGATGCTCAAATATGTTACTTTACTAATGTGTTGCCCTCAGAATAACAAAGTTATTCTAATAAAAAGAGTTTTAAATAAGAAAATCAGTTAGAAGTCACTGGCCTTTACGTGACTTTTCAATAAGAAATGTGAGGGTAGTTAACCTCTTGTTTCACTTATCTTTTAGAGGAAGAACTAGGTAACAGTTTAATATCTCAGCTGTTGCTCATAAACCAGTAGCTTCTTAGTGCACCAGAGAAGCTCTGTATACTCAAAGTGGACAGGAGTTTGTAAATTTATTTACAAAATCAAAATAATCAAAAAAAGGGCAATTTTTCCAAAGGAAATGACTTTTTTTTCCCCCCCATCAGCTGTGCTTCATATGAGTTGACCAGCTGGAATTTAAATATTTTACCCTATGGCTGAGATAAATGGGTCCATATGTGCCTGATCTTTGAGCAGAGTTAAAGCGGGAAATGAAAGCACATGAAGAGATCTGTACTGTGCAAGTACTGGACTATATTAGCATCTGTTTTAGTGACTGAAGATGAAAAGTAAGAACAGTAAAAAAAGGTTCTGGATTTCATAAATACCCAATGCAAACGAAAGACTCCATTTATGGCCATACTCCCATAAAGACGTCATAGATACATTTGCACTGCTCATTTTTCACGTAAAACAGACACCTAGCACAGAGCTTCGTAGGAACAGTCTGTTTTTGCAATTGGCTTTCCTGTGTACGGATACATGCAGCTAAAGTGAGGCGTGAGAAACGGCCTGGACTTGACCAAATACCTGGAAATTCTGAGAGGGACCCAGTAAATATCAAATAAGACCTTTCAAGATAACATTAATTCATCACTGCCTAGTGTAATACTTATCCACCAGGTTTGACCAACTCGCCGCTGTCTGAGCATTTGATATTGAAATGCGTCATATGTCACTATTGTTATCCTGGCAACTGCTTTGTGGATGACACGCTTGATATCTTTCTAAAACTCATCCTAAAATGACAAGCCACCTTGGAGGAGTCTTTTCCTCCCTCGAGCAACTTCCATCAAATAGCTGATAATGAGGCATACCCAGAAGCTGAGCAGGGCATGGTGCTGAGTTGACCTCAGGGGAGCTGAAGGAGGAGAGGGCCCTGGAAGCGTACAGCTGTGTGCCATCCCTTTGGCTATGCAATTTAGACGTGGGCAAACAGAACTGGATGCGTATGTCTTCCTCACTGCTGCTGTATGACAGCCAGGAACATGGTGAACCAGCCTTTGCAGCAAAAGGCAGATTCCTTGGCGCTGGGAAGAATGTGTCATCTTCTCTACACCCTTGCCAAAAACGTACCTTTGTTTATCAGAAAATCATGAAAAGACCTCCAGTGCAACTACACTCAGAAAGGCTTGTTTTCCATTCCTTCAAACATGATTTCTCAAAGCAAACCAAATAATGCACTGAAGCACTATCACACCAGGCTCCCAAATTTTATCAGCATTGAGCAGAACTGTAGTCAGGAGTCCTGCTGGCTTTCATCTAATCTACGTGCCTGTAACCCCAAGAACAGTCAGGACGACAACTCACATTTTATGCTGTTAGTGTTCACATTTCATTTAAAGCAATAAATGAAGCATCTACAAGGTGCAATGCTATGACACGCTGGCTCTGACAACAAAGCCCAAAGCCTCTTATACCTTTAGTTGGCCTGACCTAAGTGTTTCTCAAGTAACATTGTAAAAGAGATTACTTAAATGTTCCAGGTTAAAAATAAACTTAGGGGAAAAAAATAGAGGTTATTTTTAGCTCTGCCCCTCAGCAATCACACTGACAGAGTGAGCCCCCAAATGGATGCCTCACATAAATAAGGGAGAAATGGACTGCGGTGAGGAGGTGGGAATGAGCAAAGGAAACTAAAGCTGGTTTACTCATCTATGACAAAGTATCACAGAATTTCATCTGTCTTTCCAAAAGTGTAATTCTCGCCAAGTAGCTGCTGTTCCGGATTTACTGCATCTCCAGTTGGGCCAGACAGGTGGTTTAGTTCTTTCTCTTTAATCTGCAAACACGTGCTCAGTCTCCGTCTATTGCAGCTTTCCTTACAATGAAAATGTGTTTACAAAAGAGAAAACCACCCAACCTGAATTATAAATAGGAAAGGCAGAA